TCTCACTGGACCGATTTCTTTCAAAAATACGTCAAAAGATCACAAATCGTATCTAGTTGGAGACATTACCCTTAAAAATTGAAAAATTTTCCCTCGTTTCTCGAAAATGGGGGAAATATCCAAAAAAATTACAAATTTAAAAATCGGTAAATTTTGTCATTTTTTTCACTTTTTTTCTTAAAACTTCCATAACTTTTTCAAAAATCAACAAATTTTTTATACTAAAACCTTAGATATTTTCCATTCATTTGATATAATTTTTTTTAAAAATCTAACACTTATTCTGCTCATTGGGGCAATTTAAAATAGTAACTTTTATACAAAAAATAACTTTTTCAACTTAATTTTTGAAAATGTTCCGGAAATACTGCGTCCTTTAAACGTATATCAAATTAAAGCTTATTTTATGAACTATAAAATGAAAAAAAAAATTTGTCCCGTCGACCTATCTTCTATGTGCAAATGGCTACCGTATTCAAAATAATATACAACTACTTTATTATTTTTATAATTTCTTCGTATAAATTGCAATACTAAATTATTGAATATCAATTTCATACTAAATTTAATAATTATAATTAGTATTTATTCATATATTATATTTTAAAATCAAAGACTTACTAATCAGGATATAATCAAAGAAATAAGAGTTAATGTTGCTTTTGGAATAATCCACCAATTTCTCTAAATGAAACACTATCTATAGATTTGCATCGAAGCGTTTCTTACGACAGTGATTTTAATCACTGTCAGATATCATCTATACTTGTCCCATCTATGCCTCATCCACACTGTGCCTTGACCCTACTGTGCTACCGTACATACTGCGTCCTTTATTTTTTTTTAATTTTACATTACATGCCATAAGCCTTAATTTGATATATGTTTAAAAGACGCAGTATTTCCGGAATATTTTTAAAAGTTAAGCTGAAAAGTCTACTTTTGCAAAATAGTTCTTATTTTGAATTGTGGGCAGATAACGGGTTAAATTAACATAAAATTTATATCAAATAAAAGGGAAATACCTAAGGTTTCAATATATAAAACAATTATTTTGATTCATTCATTTTTCAATAAGTAATTTATAGAAAAATTGTGAACAAAATTTCAAAATTTATCGATTTTAAAAATCGTAATTTTTTGAGGGATTTTCACCATTTACGGGGAACGAAGAGAAAATTTTTAATTTTTGAGGCTAATTTCTTCAATTAGATACGATTTGTGATTTTTTGACGTATAGTTGAGAAAAAGTAGTGACAGACACAAAAAAATCAAACACATGGTAAAATTAATACCTTCTCAGCTTCGTATCAAAGATAAGATAATTTCTATCCCTATCCCTTTTCCTATATTTAAAATTAACTTGAGTTTTTTTAATGGAAAAATGTATGTTAAACTAGCTTAAAAAATGAAAATGATCATCTAAGAAAATTACCGGTCGTCAACAACTTTTGAACGAATATTTTGGAAGTTATTACCACTTTACTATAATGATTGGAAGTAAAGGGCGGATCTATTTATTTTTATCTCTAGGCATTTATGAGCCGCTCTACTCTTCCCGCTTTACTATAAAAATGCCAATATATTTTAAAATACTGGTTTAAAAGTTGATATCGATTTTTACTTAGATTTTCTTACTTAGATAATTATTTTATTTTTAACTATTAAACATATATATTTCCATTTAAAAACAAAATGTAGATAATATATTAAAGAGGGAAGATGTGGAATAGGATTAAATTTTTTTTGAATAATATAATACAAAGGATATTACTAACTTCTGAATAGAAAAAAATTATAGTATGATTTATTATAATTTTAATTATATTAGGTGATATATAATATATATATATATATTGTTAATTAATCACCTTGTATTCATAGGCACAAATAGAAAATATTTTTGAGGAAGCAAAATGGTTTTTCCCACACTAAAAAAATTTTTCAATTGAACATAATTTTCTAAATTTTCGAAAGGGAATTACCCCTAGTTGCGGCTGTTAATTATATTAACAATTATTAAAATACGTCGTTTTTAAATAGATATTAGTAAGCTGATAAAAGACTGGATGCCAATGTGTGCTACTAATCTATTAATATTTTAAGTAAAACCATTATGTCAATTTAGATCAGAAGGGATACTTTATATAATAGTTTGATGAGTTTCTGGAGATCGTGTCAAGTGGAAGTTTAGGATAAGGGTGGCCTACCCCAAGTAGTTGGGATTAAAACGAGGAAGAAGAAGAAGAAATTTAATGAGTTTCTCATTTATAAGAAAAATTGCATTAATATGCAAATCTTAAAGATATGCACTGACATGTCCAATTACATAAAATATACAAAATAAGATTTCACATTTAAATTATACATAACTCGAAACAAAATTTATTTATTTTTGCTATGCAGTAAAAAACGGTTATTTTGAAATTTAAAAGAGATTAAAACTTTATTTTTCTTTACAAAAATTAAATACTAAACGTAGCCTAAGTATACAAAAAATGTTTTAAAAAAAAATTAAAACGAAATGATTATTGAATCAAAAAAGTAGTTAGATCCGTTCCAACCTATATATATATGTCAACCTGCCATTTTAATGTTAAAAATAACTGTTTACAAAAGTAAAATTTCATTTTTATTTTTAATAATAGTTTTAGTTTTTTTAGTTATTGGCGAGGTGGACATAATGCGCATGCATTCCAACCTGTTGGTCCATTGTACACAATTAATAATTGTTTTCTGGAATACATTTTTTCAAGGAAATATTATAATAAGTCCGAGTTTAACAGCAGTTCTGAGTAAATTCAATGCAATTTAAATTAAAGTTAACTTATACTAATAATAATCATAGCATTATATTTATTGCTATTTAATGTATTGTGGTAGGATTAATTTAAGATTAATGTATACGTTATTCATAGTTATACAAAAACCTTTTAAAACAAAAACATTCTTACTAATTAAGGTATTAAATATTAAATAATTTTTGTGTAACGCGGCGACGAGAGAAGTTTCTGTGATATTCAATCCACGTGTACGTGTTAATTATTAGACACCTATTAGTGATTATCTTTTTCTTATGACGCAACTTAACTGCAAGTAAACTGTTAACTCAACAAATTACAAAATAAAATTTATAGGAGGCATCTAGTAATCATTAACCATTTACAAATAATTTAGACAATATACTTAAGGTAATACTTAAAAAAAGTATAAAAACTTTCAATTAAATTTAATGAAATAGTTAAAAGGTAATTATTTTAAGTTTTAATTTGCATGCATACGCATATTATGCGGATATATTTCATTTTTTTACAGCTTTTTAATTATTTCATTTCATATTGAAAAAATAATTGCGCGCGGTGAATTATAACATCTTTTTTATAATCTTTTAATGTGTTTTGAACATAATTTATGATGTACAAATCATTTATATAAATAGTGTCAATAGTTTAAACAAACAAAAAATACTATTAAATAAAACCAATCATAAAATTAGTTATGTAACTGTACTGTCATTACTTACATTCTTTTTATATTATCTTGACATTTTTTATTGTTGTTATAGCGTGTTATTAAAAAAGAATCGAGATATATGCTGTAATAAATTGTTATTTTATAATAAAAATAAATAAATCAATATCAACCAATTTAAAGGTTAATTCTACAAGTTGACATTACTTGATAAAATATCTTTAGAGTAAACGAAGCTTATTAAATTTATTTTGAAGTTCAATTAACTGGTTAAGATGATGTTAAACTGCATTCTTTAACGCCTGATTTAAAATGTACATTATTGGCTACTAATTAAAATAATCGAGGAAATCATGACGTAGTCACAAAAAAAGAAAGCCAATATAAAAATGAATATTCAAATACGAAATATAGTATCAATTTTATTGCTGATAAAATATAATACTATTAAAATTTAATTTAATTATATTTAAATACTTACGTATATTATGTAACTTTGATGTTGTATTTGGATAAACTTTAACGATCAAAAGAAAAAATGTCACTGAAATTGTGAAAATTGAGAAGCTCATAATAACTATAAATTTTAATACTTTAGCGTTTAAAAAAACCGAATAATCAACGGCAAAAACACTCGAACTATTATAGGCAAACATGTAAAATTGTAAGAAACGAACATAATATTCAGACGTGCGTCACGCGCAATTATTATAAGGTATTATAATATTACAGTACCTATTAACGAGACAGAAGAACTATAACTATAACTAACATAGTATAACACTGAGAGCAGATAAAACTCTAACCAACAATTATTATTCATAGATAAAACAATCGAATAAATAGATTTGTTTAAAACTTCTGATAAGTGTATATATCATAAAAACCATAATTATCATGTTGTTATTGTTATTAATAAAATATACGTCACGTCTTAGGCAAAACATTAAATAGTTAAAAGACGGACATGACACCCACATGAAATAGATAATAAAAGTACTGATAATCAATAACTTTAATTTTATTGTTTCAATAAAGCGGTGATCAAACTAAACCTTTTATATATACATGGTATTTTTATTCAATACATAAATTTTCAGAAGTTAATTGGTCAAAATGATTAATGCTTTGACTACGTCTCCATGACATTCTCTTAGTGTTCTTTCGGCTAAAACCTTTGATATTTCCATTTCTCTAATCTGAAACAAAAACAAACAATTACAGCGGAATTGAAGCAGTTTTACCTATTCATTTTGTGTAACAAATGAAAAGTTAACACAATGATGAGAAAATAAAATACAGTAAACACATGTGACATGAACATGATTTCATTTCAAAAATATTATGTACATAACAAATACACCAAAGACAATAATTGTGTTTAACTAATCATTAGTTATTTAGTTTTAAGTGTTATTATCACTTAGAATAATTGTGCTATTGTTATACAAAAAAATTTTAAATAAGTATTACAGATTTTAACGCCCCAAGCATTAATACTATCGATAAACATTAATATATTTACGTATCCAGGACTAATTTTTTTTGGAGCACAAGATGATTGAATAAGTACCTAGTAACTAGGGGCTAGTAATATAAATAATTCGGATTCTAACCAATGTTGTTTAAAATTTTATGAAGAAAAAAATCCAACCACTACTTTTTTTAAATAGAAGGAGCAGGGTTTATCTACGGATTTTATTAAAAATTATCACTTTTTATTCCTATTTTTTCGGAATATAGATTTCTAATAAAATACAATATATACATAGATTCTTACTCTAGTTTAAAAGTATTTATGACATATGTTTCATTATATTCTTTATTGTAATTATTAAAATAGTTTTTAATTCGTTATCTTGTTTTTTCGTTATTATAATATTAAGTACTAAACGTGTATATATAGTTTTAAATATTGTTTATAGCGTATTGTTTTTCAGTTAATATATAATTTCATACAACACTGAACTGAATACATGTTTACTTTTTTGGGATATTGCAAGACTATAATTAAATTGTAACATTTTAATTTATATAATTTTATGTGTTAATAAATAAAAGTATTATAATGTTATATAAATTAAATAAACCTTATTGGGACATAAATATTTTGTATAATTTATAATTTTATAGAATATAATTTTATTAATAACTCTAAATAAATCTTCAACCACAGGCATAAGAGATTAACAGCATAATAAAAAATATTATTTCTACAATTATTGATAAACGAGTAAAAATTCTGCTGATATAAATATTTTTTGATAAATGTTCAAATGTATTATATTTAACAGGAAGGATAAACTATTTTCGAAAGATTTCTATAAGTTTTATTAAATTATTTTTACATAATTCAATTTTAAGAAACATTAGTGTTGATATAAATTTCTACAGCAAATTTGTAATAATTGAAATTTGATCGTCTGAATCAATAGAAAAAATTAATTAAAATAAATTATATGAAAAGACAACTTTTTGAATATAGAAATAAAAATACACATAAAATTTAAAAAAACTATGTTTAAAACAAAATATTTATAAAAGTACATTTTGTCATTTAAGTCTATTTTATTATACATTGTACATCTCGAAATTTCAATTCATATTACCATATAGTTTGATTATTTATGTAATCATATTTTTAGTAATAAATTACATACAACCAATCTTAGGTAAACACTTAAAAAGTAAAATAAGAATTTAATTTTTGGACTTTACATAAATTTTAAGACAAAATGGATGTAAAAACTACAACGAATAAGACTATACAATTAACTGTAATTAGAGATACCTATGTATCACTTCATGTTAAAATTTTTAGTACTAATCACATAAAATAAAAAATATATATATACAATTGAAAAAATATATCTATATTATTGAATAAACACATGTATAAATAAATGATTATACACATTCAAATAAGATTTTAAATTAGTTTCATCTTGTGAATTGTTTAAGAATATTGATAAAATAATTTGAAGTTCATTCTGAGGTAATCTTATTTTAAGCTATTGATAAACTAATAGGAACAATAGTTTAATTTGAAAATTGATTTGGTTAGTTGTATAAAATACTTAATAAATACTGATATTTTTTATATTAAACATTAAAACATGAATTATCATCATGTACATATGATAAGAAAATTATTCATTACATTATAGTTTCAATGTCAACAATTTTGTCATTTTATTTTTTATTTTTATGGAGTGATATATTTCCTGATTACTTTCAAGATTCACAAACTTTTAAAGAATCAGTTATAGTACTCTAAATTCCTAAATTCATATAGAATATTATTGGCAGGACCCATTTAAAGTATTTTATCACTATTGATAAAATCCTAGATGCCGCTTACTATGATTTTTTTTATAATTCTTCTCATTCTTATATGGATAAAAGCATCTAAAATATGAACTTCCCTTATAATTTGTATGTAATTTGTTGAAAAACATTATTATTGTATTGATAGCACCATTTAATCACTAACATATTTTAATTATTGTATATAAGAAGTATTGATGTATACCACTTTTTTTTATCTATTTCTGTTTTTCTGATAGATAAGAAAATTACAATTGAAATAAAATATACTTAACTCAAGCTTTTAACTACCAAAAAAACTTAAGACAGAGATAGAATATATATTTTAGAACCTTTTAAAGTGTACAATTTAAAAATTAATTTATATAATGTTACTACTTAAATATAAATGATATGTTAGAATTTAAGATAAAAATTTAAATATCACAATAAGATGAATAGGAAAAAAAATTTTCAAAAGGGCTTTAATGTATACTCATAAAATTTTAAATTAGTTTTAATTTTGAGCATTATCAAATGTTAGATAATAAAAAAATGTGTAAAAATAATAAGATATATTAAGATCTAGATTTCAGCTTAAATCAATAATGTTCAAAATTTTTAATAATACATTATATCAATATTTTTATCATTACATTTTACCAATCTTAATAAATAAAACTACAACTATTACTAATGGAAGACAAAATAAGTTTTATAGTATTTATATAATGGTAAAAATAAGCGATTTTTAACTTTTTTACTTTTATTAGTAAAATTATTTCTAAATATATTTAATTTTGAGGACAGTAATTTCATTCGAAGCAAAAATCACTTGTTAATAAGTCTATGATTGAAATGAGGCAATCTTATATTGATACAATATTTGTGTATATTATATATTATAAAGTAAAAATAGCAATTTTTGAAGTAATTGTAATGAGCAATATGCACAACAGTTAACAACAATTAAAAGTTTTGTATAAAGTAAATTAGGACTTACAATTAATTCAACATCAGATTTTTTGATATTCACTTTTTGTAATTCTTTTTCTTTCGCTATTTTATCAGCTGCTTCTTTTAATCTTCGGTCACCAATTATAGTCATTGCCTAAAGAATAGAATTATACATATTCATAAAATGCTAATATATTTATAAAGTATATAATATTTAAATCTATTCTTCATACACCAGTTATATCATCAGTAGACATGACTTCTTTTTCTTCTGCATAGTCAGTAACTTTTTCTAAATCTGCAGCAGCTCCACTGTAATACTTCATATTTTTTTTAGCATTTACTTCGTCAGTATTTTCAGACTGCTCTTCAGAGCCACCCATTCCATTAACTTGAAGTTCTGCAGCCATGACAAATAATTATTTAATCGAAAAAAATTAAGTTTTCTTATAGAAATTTAGCGGCATGGACATTTAAAATAAAATTATTAAGTGATAATAATAAAATCCGATATCGTTATCACACTTGACATTAATTTTATACAGTGCAGTACATTTAAGGCATTCAAAATCCCACGTCGTTATTATAATAACTTGAAGATGTTTAACCAGAGACGTATATCACAGTAAAAAATAAAAATGTAAAACAATAAGACAAAAAAAATTTTTTTTAATTACCACAAAAATTTTCTTGGTTTATTTTAAAGGCTAAAATCAAAAACAAAATGCAAAAGAAAAAAATTAAGGACAGGTTTGAAATTAGGGTAAATAATTAAATTATAATGGCATGCTTTTTTTAATAAAATGAAAAATTCAATTTTTAATTTTTTGAAATTAATAATTTTATTAAACAGTGCTTTTTGTAGAGCTAAAAATAAATAAAAACGTTTTGTAACATTAAACTTCTTCAACGTATTTGGTATTCAAAAATCTATAAGAATGTACGGTTTAAATTTAAGTATGGGCTTTATAATTATAAAAATGTCTGGTTGGGTTAGTAGTGAAATTCGAAGAATTAATTTTTAAGTATCATCCTAATAAATACAATTTTAATATCTTTTAAATTTATCAAAAATCTATATTATATAAAATTCTTAAGTCTTATAAATAAAGCGATCGGTTTTATTATAAAACACTCTATTACTTTAAAAGTGAATAGAACATTGGAAAAACAATTTTTTGTTTTTTTAGTTACATAAATTTTTTGATTTATTAGCTATTACTTACTTTTTAGGATCATCTCTTATAATATTTAGAGGTATTTACTTTATTTTTTTTAAATAGTAACATACATATTTAATTAATTTATAAAATAGAAAATTATCTAATTAAGAAATTGATTAGTCGATAACAAAATTTGGTCCAAGTACTTAAGATGTTATTTTCGTTTTTACACATAGGGGTGACGAAGAGTACGATAGGGAAATGACTAGTGATAAAAATAACAGCTCCTACTCATCACATCAGTCATTACTATAAATTATCAATATCTTCTGAAATAATGGTTCAAAAGTTTTTATCGACCAGTCATTTTCTTAATTAGTATATTTCCTATTTTATAAGCTAATTAAATATTTATGTTGCCATTAAAAAAAAATAAAGTTAATACCCTTTTAAGTTATAAAAGATGATTCTAAAAGGTTATTATGTACTGATAAATCAAGTATTAAATGTAACTTAAAGAAATCAAATTTATTTTTCTAATATTGTATTTATTTTGCGAGTAATCCAGTGGTTTACGAGAAATCGACTACCCTAAATAATATTATTAGTATATAAGATTTAATGTTATTATATTATTGTTATTATGTTATGATCTAGAAATAATTAACAAATAATTTTTAATATTTATTTTTTATTTCAAAAATAATAATCTCTACAACAAAATATGTACATTAAGTTGTTTGTGTATAAAAATTTTCTATTCTGTGTCTAATGAATAGTTAGTTGCAACTGTAGCTTGTCTTGTGAGTGTAAGTCCAATCGAAAGTTATGTTCTTTCCAATGAATTGAGTAACAAAACAGATGCTTTGCGGACACTGTGTATTTATGTTCAGCGTTTAAGACAAATTAGGTTTGTTTCAAATGATAATTTCGTCGACCAAAGATGTTGCAGTTTTGTCATTTTCATTATTTAGTAAATTTAAAATTGATAAAACTACGAATATAAATAATTTAATTAGTTAAATTAAAAAAAATATATATCATTTCAAATACGAATCCTAATAAATAATATTAAGAATGCGTATATTGTTAAATAAGTCATAAACAGATTTTTTGATTGGATTTCTTTTGTGTTTTAATTATTATTATACATTTTTTTTTTTGTATGAAATATATATTTTTTTAATAAATATTAAATGAGGAATAACACTTTTTAAAATGAATAATATGTTTAACCTCTCCTTTCAAAATATTTGAATCAACGTTATTATTGTTGTAATATATTCGTCACTATTATAATATGAAATAATAGTGGGCTACTCATGTCCACAATAATAGTTTTTTATTTAATCTTTTCATTTAAGATTATTATCACTTACTTATAAATTATATTTATATGCTTAAAATAACACGATTTTTTTAAAATAAATAACTTAGAGAAATATTTAACAAACACATACTGTCGTTTAATTATATTATACTACACACGATACAGTCATGAGTCAATTATTAGTCACCTTTAAAAATCACTCTTTAAGAAATTTATAAATTATACTTGTCAGATATTTTTACTCTTATCTTAATACATAAACACAATGTGTCAACTCTAGTTTTTAATGTAAAAACAAACTATGTTAATGTTATATAAAAATGATTTGTATATTATCCACATGTATTAATTTATATATCTCATATTTTATGCTTACTTATCAATAAACGATAACATTACAAGAATGACAAAATGATGATTGTTCGGAAATACAAAATACTATAAAAGACAGAGTAATCCTTTTCAGTCAGTGCTGAGGTATTGAGGGAATCAGTCTCCAGATGTTCAAAGATCTATCTGTTCAATGAACTGGTACTTACCAGTTGGATCATTTATAATATCTCTATAAGAGGAACTTTAATTATTTCTTTTTATATCTAATTGTCTTTATTGTTCTAAACCCTCAGACTCTACAACCCCGATAGAACCTCGTAACATCATCCTTATTTTTGTATTATTACACTATTTTAGCTTCGGTGCGAAGCTGAAAAGGTATTAATTTTACTATGATATATTTTTTTTTTAATTTAATTTTTTTGTGTTTCTGAACGCTCAATCTCAGCTCTCGCAGGACCGATTTTGATGAATAATACGCCAAAAGATCACAAATCGTATCTATTCGAAGACATTACCCTCAAAAATTGCAAAAAATTCCCTCGTTTCCCGTAAACGGGAAAAATTCCCCAAAAAATTACAATTTTAAAAATTTTTGTCATTTTTTCAATTTTTTTACTTAAAACTTGACCTACTTTTTTCAACGTTACATCAAATTATTACAATTCGTATCTAGTTGAAGATATTACCCTCAAAAATTGAAAAGAAATTCTAATTTATCAATTAAACAGTTACTTATCCCATGTTCTCCTTACAGACAATTAAAATCATTCATTTCTATTGTTTTCAAAGTATTTATTGACGAATCAAGTTTGATATGATAGGTTTCAACAACAAAATTAAATCATTTTACTTTATAATTTAATAATTATTTTACTCTTTTTGTGTTTACTACTACTAGACTGTAATATTCCAACTTTTTTGGTAACATGTTGCTATATAAATCATTTCTAAAAAAAATGATTGTTAGTCTCTCCTGAATTAAAAATGTATTTTTACAATTATAATCAAATTTTATAATACGCTCAATTGAGTAAATCTTTTTAACAACTTTGTTTTGATTGGTTCTTTTAGTTCAAGTATATTGTTAAAATTAAATAAGTTCTGAATATTTCAATTGTAGAATCTTTTTAAACACCAAAAGTTACTAGGAAGTTATTACTATTATTTCTATATAATTTATCTATTACAATAAAAATATTGAGCTTTTCTGATAAATTTACTATAAACAGTAATTATAAAATTTCCTGACTGCATATTAATTTTAAGGATACATTTTTTTTAATTCTCATAAAATTTTCTATTAAATGATATCAATTTAAACTTGCAAATTGAGCTAAAAGTTATGGTAATGAATTAACTTTTTTTTTTTTACTAAAAACTTTCACAAAAATCAACTTTAAAGGATTAAAAAAATAGGTTAAATATGCCATTTTCCTTATTTTTGACATATTAATAATCAAAATCAGTATTAATTTAAAACAATTTTTTTTTGTTATTAATAATTTTTTTTTATATGTAAATAATAAGTTATAATATTAAAACTCAGAAGTGATAGAAAAAGTCTAATTGCCCATTTGAAAACATCGCGAAAAGTTGATTTAGAAAAAGTATATTTTTGATTCTGATGAAAGTTCCTTATAATCCAGTGTATAAAACTTTGTTATAAGTAATAAAAAAAATTTATTGAAAAGTTTTACATCAAACCCTTAAAATTTTTATTCGCGTTAAAAATAAAGTAATATACTTATTATTTTTATAATATCTTCGTAAAAATTACAATATTATATTATTGAATATCAATATCATACTAAATTTAATTACCATAATTATTATTTATTCATATATTATAATTATAAATCAAATAACTAATCGGTATAAAAATAAGGGGAAAAGAGTTATTGTTGCTTTTGAAATAATCTACCAACTTCTTAAAATTAAACACTATTTACAGATTTGCATTGAAGCGTTTCTTATGATAGTGATTTTAATCACTGTCAGATATCATCTATACTTGTCCTAACTATGCCACGTCCATAATGTGCCACGACCCCACTGTGCTACCGTTTTTTTTTTAATTTATGTATATATAAATTAATTAATATAAATCAATTTTAATAATCGTATAAATTTTACCTACCGAATTTTGGAGAAGTAAGTTCTTCGAAAATAGGTAAGGTCACTTTCTTTAATGAAAATTCTTCTATTCGATTACATGGAATAGAACAATATTTGTTCGAAACAGTATCGCTCATTGACACCATGGAAGCTTCCAAAACACAACTTGGAGTTAATTCCATTTCCTAAAAATATTTAAAGATTTTATAAAATTTTGGACAATTTTTTTTATAAATTTCACACACTATTTTGGTTAAATTATCAACACATTCATCGAAGACGAAAAGTTTATTTTGATCTGGTTGTATATAAGTTTCGACGAATTCATAATTTTGCATATTTACAGATACTTATGCTGTTAAAAAAAATTATTTTATTTTTTAAAAATATGAACACATTGTAATGTAGGATACAGTGAAATCTAAATTTTTTACATTATAACTATTTACTCTATAACAAATTTATAACTATAATTATAGTTTATCAATTAAACATATATCTTAGAATATATAAAGCCAAAAACTGTATAATTATATTAATCTACTTTAAGTATATTTCAATCAATTATTTTAGAAAACAAACTTTTTTGTGACCATCAAAATGTTATAGAACTGTTAAATATTCAAAAAATGATCGTTGATTGTTATTACCATTTGTAACTGCTGCCTGAAGTAGTTATCACACTGTACTTTTAGTTTACGTTTACAAAATTAATTTAACATTTCGATTTTGAGATTTTATCATTATTTACTTGCTTAAACCTACCACTGCGGCACCAATTAATAGAAATACTGTTATTATAAATCTATTAGTTAATGACATATTATCGAAATTCCAGTTGTGAAACATTCATTTATATGAGAGGATTGGAAATATAGAGTAAAACAAAGTACTAGAATTTTACAAATTACAAAATACTTTAACTCTTATTTACAGCTTAACAGAGACCATCCCTAAACTAAAAATATATTTAAAATATTAAATCCAATCATATTATATCGGATTTTTTAATAATACATTAAGTTTCAAAATATAAACTATCATATTAATAATTAATATTATTTTAATCATTTTATTAACTAATATAAAATACATTTTTTCACATTAAAAAAAAAAAGTTTTTTTTTTAAATTCATGGTTATCTTAAATTGTAATTAAAAAAGAGTTATCAATTTGATTAAAGAAAAAAATTAATATGCAACAGCAACACATCAATACCTATTTGTTAAACTAATAAATGATATTCTTTATTTACTAAACTGAAATTTATTGCAGAGTTCTATAATACTTTTAAAGTACAAAAATAAAAAAATAAAGTATACGAGTAATAAAAATTAACAACTAATTTTTATTAACCGTTAATTGTAAAAAGTTATTATATTTTATATTAGCAATTAAATTAGTATGAGATTGAACTTCTTATTCTTTTTTGCCTTAATCACAACTACTTGGAGTCGGCCATTTTTCCATTTGACACAATCACCCACATCAGCTAGCCTCATATCGCATTCAATGGCATCTCTTTTTTGGTCTTTCTCTACCTCTTCTTTCTTCAAAATTCATTTCTATAACTGTTCTTACAGCTTCCGATTCTTCTCTTCTCATAACGTGACCAAACCATCTAAGTCTATTTTCTCTCATCTTATCCACGATTGAAGCAACACCTATACTTCCTCTTTTATGCTCTTTCGTTAACCTATCTTCTCTAGTCACTCCACTCATCCATCTAAGCATTCTCATCTCTGCTATACTCATTCTCTGCTCAACATTTATTTTACGGCTATAATTCTGTCACATTTCCTAGCTCTTTTCTGATTTAAATATATCCATATACAAGTATTTACTGGTCAATAATCAATGCTTATGCTGCGTCACAAGGCAACCTGAAATAAAATAGATTTTTTTTTATAATTAATTTTATATTACATTTTTATATATATCTGTATATTGCAATTATACATTTTTGAATAGAAATACTTACAAACAAATTCTTAGATAGATACAGAATAAGCACGACGTTCTCTATGAACTCAGTTTCCCTTCATTATTGATTTAGCGGAACTTAATAAAATGTCTACTATTTTTGTTCTAAAATGTGCTGTTCAAGGGGTACACATTACTTAAGGTTACAATATAAAAAATAATTATTTTGAGTTGTTAATTTTTCAAAAAGTTATGTTAATTTTCAGAAAAAAAAGTGAAAAAAATGTCGAAATTTACCGATTTTAGAAATTGTACTATTTTCATAGTTTACAAGGAACCAGGAAAAATGTTCAATTTTTGAGGTTAATATCTTCAACTAGGTACGATTTGTTATACTTAGACGTATAGTTGAAAAATCTCGGTCCAGTGAGAAATGAGAAAAAGTAGTGACGGACATAAAAATAAATACACATCAAGGTAAAATTAATACTGTTTCAGCTTCGCATCGAAACTAAAATTAAGTTAGAAACTTATATTATAGGTGTCATGTAGCGATAGTCATTGTTAAGTTTTAAGATTCAGTTGTTATGTAATCATAATAAATGTTCTTTATTTTTTTTGTTTTTTTTTTTTTTAATATTTATGACACGTGTATTAAGATTATATAATACTGTATTTTATACACGTTTTATTAATTAATAACTCATAAAATTCAAACAAAAAAAAAAAAATCCAGCACAGTGGGGTGGCGGTACAGTGGGGTCGTGGCATAGTTGGGTCCAGTATAGATGATATCTGACAGTGATTAAAATCACTATCATAAAAAACGCTTCGATGCACATCTGTAGATAGTGATTAATTTATAAAAAAAAAATTTGTTAAAATAGCATATTTTTGAATACGGTTTTGCGCATAGAAGATAGGTCGTCGGGACAAATTTTTTTTTTTCATTTTATAGTACATAAAATAAGCTTTAATTTGATATATGTTTAAAGGACGCAGTATTTCCGGAACATTTTCAAAAATTAAGTTGAAAAAGTTATTTTTTGTATAAAATTTACTATTTTAAATTGCCCCAATGAGCAGAATAAGTGTTAGATTTTTAAAAAAAATTATATCAAATGAATGGAAAATATCTAAGGTTTTAGTATAAAAAATTTGTTGATTTTTGAAAAAGTTATGGAAGTTTTAAGAAAAAAAGTGAAAAAAATGACAAAATTTACCGATTTTTAAATTTGTAATTTTTTTGGATATTTCCCCCATTTTCGAGAAACGAGGGAAAATTTTTCAATTTTTAAGGGTAATGTCTCCAACTAGATACGATTTGTGATCTTTTGACGTATTTTTGAAAGAAATCGGTCCAGTGAGAAAAAGTGGCAACAGACATAAAAAAAAAAAAACACATCATAGTAAAATTAATACCTTCTCAGCTTCGCATCGAAGCTAAAAATATAATATAAACATTTTTTAGTTAATATCCTAAATATAAAATAGTATGTTTAATAATTTTGTTTGGTAATTTGGGTGGTTATCCTTTTTAATACTTTTATAAACATTTTATTTTTATTTTTATCCCCATACGTAATTGTTTTAAAATAAAGTACCACTTGTCTATTTTTGTTTTGTATAATACGTATAAAACACAACACTTTTGTATATATTTTATAATACATTATAATATCATAAAACAACATATGACCAATAAACTTATTGTCAAATTAATCATATAATTAGTCGACAAATAATTTTAATCACAGACAAAATGTACCTTTTAAGCTACTTTTTTGTGTTCAATTCAAATGTAAAATTAATATTTTTTTATCATCTTTGGAATTAAAAATAATTACTTAATGGTAAATTTTTATACAATATTTATATAACCTCACCTATTTATCATATAAAGGTAAAAATATAAATCAGATTGTATTACAACATTAAAAATAATCCAGATTATAAGATATACAATAAATTATAAATTGATTTCAAAAATGATTAAATTTAAATAAATCTGCAAATTTACCAATGAACACAGTAAAATTGTACTAATAAAGCAGGATTTTGTTTTTAATCCTGAACTCTTCTAAAGTGTTAAGTTTCATTTTAACCTATTTATTTTTTTATTTCTTTTGAATAATTAAAAAAGATATCAATTGAATCATTTTTTTTAAGCCAAGTGTTACGTAGAAATTATTTATTTATTAAAATTATTTATTATGATATAAATACAATGAAATAGCAAATTTAACTAAATGTTGATTTTTTTTATAAATTTACTATTAAAAATAATTATATATGTTCCAAATCATTTAACAATCTGAAAAATACCATTTTAAAATTCTCTTAAAATATTCTATTTAATGATATTAATTCAAATTCAAAAAAGTAATAAGTTTCAAAAAGTTATGGTAAAAAGATTAACTTTTTTTTTATATAAATGTTCATAAATATCAACTTTAAATACTAAAATTCTCAGCTTCGCATCGAAGCTAAAATATATGTTAACTTGATAATAACGAAATCAATATCAATATTAATTAAGAAAATAAAGTAATTTTTACGTATAATTATTTGTATTTTAATAATTAGTAAGTAAATAAAATCTTATAAGATAGAGAAAATTGTATTATAGATTTAAAATCAGATCAAAAAATTGGCTTAAAAATAAATTTTTGTCTCTGATTATTAAAAATGTATATAAAAAAAAAATGTGTTGGTTTTAAATGAAATTTTTTTCTGTGTAAAAGCAAAACCTATTTTCGAAGTACATGTTGTGTAATAAATGCAATTTTATTTATACATAGTGTACGTTAACTTTAAATCTATAATTTTTATATACAGCTGTACAATAAGTACAAACCTATCATTTTTTATATACAGAATATATGATAAATGCAGGTGGTATATTTCAATAATTAAAATATACCACCTACACTTATCATAAAAAGTGTAATTAATACACTCTATTTATACTAAAACGCATAGATGAGAATACTACTTTGTTGTACACTCATACATATATATATTTCAACACTAGTCATTGACCTGCTTTATATTGGGTGATAATTACAATGTTAGTAAAAAAGTTACACAATATCATAAAAAAAGTTTTTTATATTAATTATATTTTCACATACTTACATGTATAAATAACAATATGTTTTGAAATGATTGAATTTTTTAAATAATAAAATCATAAAAAAGTTTCAAATTAAATAATTTGTTTGAGATATTAAAAATACACAGTTAATACCATCTATTTACTTAACTCAGGAAATATTAAAGGGTAAGGATTATTAGGGTCTAAGGTATCAGTATTAATTGGAGTTGGTGGTCGAGGGTCTTGTTCGGTGCATCCGACTAACCAATATGTTACAACAGCTCCTTTACCTTTAAGTTCTACGTCTCCTCTTAACTCTAATTTAAAAGTTTGAAACGTTTCCAATATATTTTTGGTTGCCCAGCTTACATGAATTCTTAATGCTAAAAATTATACTAATTAGTAATAAGTATTAATTGAAAAAAAATTATATACGTTCTCCTGAAGATTCCATCCTAGATGCGGTGTTGACTGTATCTCCAAATAAGCAGTAATGAGGCATTTTTTGTCCAACCACTCCAGCACATACAGGTCCTAAATTTTTTAAATTTTCATTATGTATCAATCAATTTTATTGAATGATAACAACGACTAAAAAGAAAATTTATACATTGAATAGTTCCAGAAATATTTCGTTGCAATGCTCGAATTATAAGAGATTTTTAAAAATAATAAAAACAGTTGTCATCTAATATTACAAAAAAAAGTTGAGTGATAAGTTTATAATGAACTATAATACCCGTATGAATTCCAATGCGAACTTTGAGCTGCGCATCGGGTTTATGTTGAATGGTGAACATTTGAACAGCATCTAATATAGCCAATGCCATTAAAGCGATTTCCTTAGCATGATTGTCACCATTTCTTTCTGGTAATCCAGAAACTACCATATAAGCATCTCCAATAGTTTCAACCTGTTATATGTTAGTGCTATTACTCTTAGAAAATGATTATACTTCATTTGAAAACAACAATAATTGTTTAACAATAATTATTAATAATAATAATAATTGATAAAAAATTATTACATATATCGTAACATGAATACCAAAAGTTTCTATCTCTTGTGTATAAGTTAAAAAATGTTGATTTTCTTACCATAATATAAGACAAATTACAAGTTATAACAAAAAAATTTAATTTGTGTATATTACCTTGTACACATCATAAAATCCTATGATTCTATCAAACGTACTGTATAAGTCATTCAGCAAATTCACTACCTAATTTTTAAAATATTACTAATAATGATTGAACAAAAAAATGTTTTATTTAATAAGATCATACTTGCATAGGAGAACTTTGTGCACAAAGTGCTGTAAATCCAACAATATCACTAAAGTATACAGTAACGTTTTCAAACTGTTCAGGCTTGACCATTTCACCAGCCATAAGCTGTTGAGCGACAGGTCTACATAAAGTATCATTCAATTATTAGTCACTATTCAAAGTACAGATGACCGTATTTAATAAAATCTTGTCACCTAGGGAGTACTTGAAACAATAATTCTTCTGAACGACGTTTTTCTTGGCTTAATTGATCAGTTTTTTCTTCAACAAGAGCTTCTAAATTATTGGCATATTGCTCCATTCTTAAAACCAAATCGTCCATCAAATTTTCACAATAGCCTCTAACATACACGATAAATTATTTTGAGTTATAAAAAAATTTCACATTGATTAGGTATGAAATAATGTAATTTTTATAAATATATTTTTAAAAGTTAACAAGGACAAAATTTTACCTTGTTATTTGTCGTACAATACTACGCATAATGTCAAATCCCGGCCTTTCTTCGGGTGTGTCGTTCCAACATCTTTGCATTAACTCGGAAAGCTGTTCTGGGCAATCATGTCCTGATATGTCGGGTCGAAAATATGGTTCTTCCCGTTTTTCAACTTTTTCAAGTATTTCTAAATATAATTTGCATAAAATAATCAATCATAAATAGATGAATATTATTATTAATTTATCAACAACTCTTAAAAGTTAAAAAAACATTCATTAGATTTTAATAAATTGAGGTAATAGCAATGAAAATTAAACTCATCAAATAAATATTTTACCTTGAGGTGTCATTTCGTTTTTTACGAAATCGTATGGACCACCTCGTACAACTATTTCTTCTAATACAATTGCAAAACTGTAAACGTCTCCTTTTTGAGTAGGTGGAATTACACTTGTGTTTTGCTCGCCTAAAAGTTCCGGAGCAACCCATAATAATTCTTTAAAAAAAAATTAAAGAATATAGTTTAATAATAGATGTTTACCTAATAGAATATAAAATAAAATTTATAATATATAAAACCGGGTAAAATGTTGTCCGTAAAAAGTTGATTTTTTTCATTTCGACCTACTATAATAGTATTCACTATCGCGAATAATTTCCGAGGGAGTTGTGAGCGTACGTAATCCGAAGTTCGACAGTTTAAGCACGAACCGGCCGTCAATTAAACAGTTACTCGAGCGAAGTTTACCATGCACTCCTACTTCACAACTATGCAAGAACGCCATTCCCTTGAAAAGTGTAAGTACATTTTAGGCGATAGACTAAAAAAAAGAAAACTTCTTCTCACTTTAACGATATCGTGAATTAGAGACATCCTGAAGTTCCATTCGAGGCGTAGAGCTTCATTTTCAAGTACATCTTTTAAACTACCTTTTGGACAATATTCTGTTATAATTAGTACTGTTGGACAATGAATACATGCTCCGATGAAGCGAACTGTATTTTCGTGTGTTACATCTCTTACCTTCCATAGGAATACAATAAAAATTATATTAAGTGAATTTTAAAAAACATGTCTTAATTTTTATATGCATCCAATTTCAATATATTAAATATGACGATTATTAATATTAATATAGGTGTGAATTTAATTTTAAGTAAAAAAAATAATTTGATTTACTTGTTTAATTTCCCACAACAGTTTTTTATTCAAATCAACTTTTTTCTTTACAACTTTTTTTAATGCTACTCTAGAACCCTATAAAATGTACATATATATATATTTATATTTATATATTTAGTTTAATAGTAACCACTTAATTTTAATTAAATATAACTTACTTTGTAAATTCCTACGGTTGTGTAAACTTTAGCTGGTGGTAATGATGAATTAGAAGTATCGGATCGTCTACGACAATTTAACTTTTCTTGTAAGGCTGGTTCAAAAATCTATCCATTAATAGAATAAATATTATAAAGTAAAGTTTAAATATCAAATATTACAATCAGATAATTTGTAATTATTGAACTATATATCATAATAATGTTTTTTGAAATATTACTTATCATAGTTGTGGAACTTTATAGTAAAAATGAAATCTCTTAGGAACTAAGTTTTCTAATTATAATTTAAAAAGTAATGTAAAGTTTTATAGAAATTCGTAACGTATCAAAATTAATATTATGCTAATATTTTTAGTTTTTTGTATGATTAAGTAAATTTTTGTTTTAGAAGTAAAATAAAAATGAAATTTATGACACAAGGACATAATATCAAAATTCGCATATGCTAAATTACAAAAAGTAGTTTTAATTTAATTATACAAAATTAGATATAAGTTTTAATGGAAGAATTATTAGAAATACATAAAATAATTTGTATTGCAATTTAGTGACGAATATTTTTTTGTTTAATATTTTAATGATTTTTTTAAATAATAGCACCTCTGTAGGCTTTTGTAATGCCAAACGTGACGAATATGGTTTACTGACTTCGATTAATACTTCTTCGGGTCTCACTCTCCAAGACATATTGTTTAAATCTGCTGCCAGTTTCAGTTGTCTAATAACCAAATTAAATTTTATAATGAGTTATACACTACACAACGTACCAAATACTCTACCGGTTTATTATAAATGCTAAAATCGAAACGAATGTTGTAAACACAAGAAATGCTATTGATGCGTATAATGTTATATAATAAGTACCTGAAAATAAGAAATAGTGTATAAATAGAATAGATAATTATATATAACTAATGAATAAAGTCATAGTTGCATTTTATTTGTTAATGATAAACAATTTGATTTAAGAAATGCATACAATATTGACATTTATGTTATTTATATAGTTCATAAAGTTTACGAATATCATTCTATCACAAATACCAACTGGAAGCTTTTGCTTATAGAACACATTATTAAAATTATCACTAATTACAATACGCTATTTGACCACATTTTTTACCTTCTGAACTACAGGCAGGATCATTTCCTAAAAACCCGCATAATGGCACATCTTTAGGTGGACCATCTGATACACCAGGCCAATGTATATGTTTGTCTTTTGCTGGAGTAAAATTTCTTGCTTCCCCGTAGTACCGAGCTATCCCTTCAAAACGACCAGTAATAGGATCTAAGTCTAATATTTCGTAATCCGCGTCCCTTTCACCGTTTTCATCAATTCTCACTCGTCCGATGATACCTGGGTACAATAAGTGTAACAATTACACTATTTACCGCTAAAAGACTATCATATAGTATAAATAATCAGTTACTGTTTCACAAAAATTTCTAATTCATAATAATAAAACAAAATTCTGAAAATAATTTCTATTTTCTTTTACATTTTAGAAATACTTGACCGTATTAAAAAATAAAAATTAATAGATATTTTGTATAAACTTTTGCGTTAAATTTTTTTATAATGTCATCGTTTATCCTACTAATAGGATAGTAGTAATTTATAAGTTTTGATGTGTATACTTAAGATATGTTCTTCTTCATACTTCATTCTATCCACAGGTATAATATTATCGTGAAGCTAAGTAATTTATGTATACAAAGTCAAAATTTTGGTATTTATCAATATTTGTACCTTAGTTGTTTACCTTGAATTATAGCTTCAAAATCCTTTAAAACGCATTTCAATTTTAATCTTACTCAACTGTCCATGCTATAAAAAATTTACTAAAAAACTATTATTTTATTGTGGAAGAAATTGTCCATGTGTATATATTTATAAATCTAGTTATCAAATAAAAAAATGTGGTGTTTATATTTTTCAAAATAAATAATTCATACCTGAAAATGTTCTATTCCACATTAAACTAGTGATTGCTTTTCCATCTCTAATGTTTTTTTTATTAGTTAGTGTTTCATTCATAGCCATACCAAGTAAATGAACACCATCATAGAAAGCTGCCACGAAAATGTTTACCTGGAAAATATGACAAAAAAATTTAAGCTCATACTATAAAAGATTCAGTTCCAGATATAACCTCTTCATTTTCAGACAAGGTATAGTTATAATTTTCTTTAGCTTTGTATTTTATAAGTTTGGAGAAATTTCGAAACTGTGAAAGTGACGGTTTAAGCAAAGATACACGTAATAATGCTTCATAAGCTTTTCTAGCCGCTTTGTCTTGCTCATCGTCTGCTGACCAACCTCGTTCATCCCAATGAGTACCCTTTGAACAGCACATTTTAGAACAAAAATAGTAGACATTTTATTAAGTTCCGCTAAATCAATAATGAAGGGAAACTGAGTTCATAGAGAACGTCGTGCTTATTCTGTATCTATCTAAGAATTTGTATGTAAGTATTTCTATTCAAAAATGTATAATTGCCTCAACTTCGTAATATAAAATTAATTATAAAAAAAAATCTATTTTATTTCAGGTTGCCTTGTGACGCAGCATAAGCATTGATTATTGACCAGTAAATACTTGTATATGGATATATTTAAATCAGAAAAGAGCTAGGAAATGTGACAGAATTATAGCCGTAAAATAAATGTTTGAGGAAAAAGTGTTGAATGAAATAAGTTCTTATGCACCATAAGTAGTATGTGATGGAATTGATAAGGAAGTGTTTTAGGGAGAAATCGATTAGGTGAATCAAGGAATACCTGGCAATAAAGATGCGGTGATAGGTGGAGATATAAATTGACGTGTATGTTATGAGAGGAGAGGATATGAAATAGTACATAGAGGATATAGTTTTAGTGGGAAGAATAAGGATGGAGAAAGAATCGAATATCCGGTTGTGGAAATTGAAAGGGAAAAATGAAAAAGAGTTTGTAAAAACTTTAAAAGAGAATACGTTGTGGAATATCGAAGGAAACATAAATAATGTGTGGAATAGATTTGCTAGTTTTGTAAAGAATACTCCAAAGGAGATTGTAGGTGAGAATAGGAATAGAATACCAAGAAACAAGGAAACCTGGTGATGGTATGAGAATATTCAAAAATCATAAAAATTAAGAAAAAGCAATTCAATGTATGTCAGAAGAGCCAAAGGAGAGAAGATTGGATGGAGTATAAACACTTGGGCAAAGAAGCAGTAAATAAGGCGAAGTTTAAGAGGTATGATTTATATGATAGGCTAGGAACAAAGGAAGGCGAAAAGAAATCTATAGACTTGCAAATGTAAGAGAGAAAAGGTCTAAAGATTATCATTATATGAGGTGTATAAAAAGTGTTGATAATAAGGTACTTTAGAATGATGATGATGTGAAAAAAAGGTGGAAAGAGTATGTAGCGACCAAAACATACGCAACGAATATTCTCGAATGTTCTCGTTATCAAAAAACCTTCGAGAAACTTCGATAACGCCATAAGATAACCTACGCGGGTATAGAATATTCTAGAATTAGCGAGAGCCTTATCGGAGCTATATATATATCGGAAGAATCAGTCAGTGAGTTAGTTCAGTTCAGACTGTCTAGTCCGCGATACGCTACACGACCGCTACACCCCGCCGCTGTTGTCATCGTGTATTATGTTTACTTCGATTATTTTATTTTTCCTTACTGTATATACATATATTTTCTTTTAGTGTTTATACGTCTATTTTAGTGTTATAATTTTGTTTAATAAAAGTCTACCGCCATTTAAATAATTGTGTGTTGTAAGATATAACCCACAAGTATTTTTAAGTATTTAGGGTGATTTGTGCAAAAGATCGGTGGTATTGACGAGGATGTAAGACACAGGATTAAGTGCGGGTGGTTGAAGTGGAAAGAAGCTTCTGGCGTCTTATGCGATAAAAGAATTCCAATGAAGCTTAAAGGTAAATTCTATTAGACTGTAGTGAGATCAGCTATGATGTATGGTTCAGAGTGTTTGGAGGTTCATAATAAAGTTGAGCAGAGAATGATTATAGCAGAGATGAGAATGCTTAGATGGATAAGTGGAGTGACTAGAGAAGATAGGTTAACGAAAGAGCATAAAAGAGGAAGTATAGGTGTTGCGTCAATCGTGGATAAGATGAGAGAAAATAGACTTAGATGGTTTGGTCACGTTATGAGAAGAGAAGAATCGAAAGCTGTAAGAACAGTTACAGAAATGAATTTTGAAGAAAGAAGAGGTAGAGAAAGACCAAAAAAGAGATGCCATTGAATGCGATATGAGGCTAGCTGATGTGAGCGTAGATGATGGGGAGATCAAGTGGATGTTTAGAATAAGTGTGGCCGACCCCAAGTAGTTGAGTTTAAGGCGAGGAAGAAAAAGAACTTATCTATCTATCTATCTATACTATTTAAAAAATCACTCAGATTTTATTTTGCGATACACATGTGTAAAAATAACAATATTTATATATGAAAAAAATTGGTTTGAGTTATTCAAGCTAAAAACTAAATACTTGTCTTTATTACCTGAACTAACTCTACGTCTAAAAATGCCCATTCACCTTTAGTCATTCCGATTTTGTGTGCAGCTAGCATACATTTCCGTACTAAAGTCCCTCGTACACACAATATAATAACTGAAATATTTACATGATTTATGTTAGAAAGTTTAACTTTTACATAAATATTAATTTAAAAATTTTTTAGTTTTTTGTTAGTGTCTTTAAAGTATTGCGATAAAATGAAAAAAATATTGGAACTTGTTAGTTCATTTTAATAGTTTAAAAATATTTATTTAATGTATAATGAAATTAAATATTTCTAAAATACAAATTGACAACTATTTTATACTAAAAAAAATTAAAACAAAATTTTAGAGGGTATAACAATAAATAGTTCATAGTTTTATAAGAATCACTTGTATTTCAAAAACCAGGAAAAAATAAAGAATTGACAATACACAATATTTCACATTTCTGAAACTACCATTAATTTAATAATGTATGGAATTTGTTTGCATATTTTGATGTTCAGCATACATTACAAAATCACATTTTTCATTTGATGCATAAAACCTCAATTAAATTGCAAATCTTAAATTTATTTCAATTTTGTTAAATACATATTATATAAATTAATTATTTAAAATATTTTCTAACCTAACAAAAACGATTATAACTACACTTCATTATTGATTAAGCAATTAATAAATTTCTCATTATTTATTTTTAAGTACTAACAATCCGCAAAAATCAGTAATCTGAAATATTCAAGGCACAATTAACATTCAGATTAGCACGATCGCTGAATATTATAAAACAAAATAGCAAGCCTAATTCAAAAGTTATTAGTTGTCAGTTAATGTTGATTAATTACCTCTTGCATACATGCTGGCATCTCTTAGATACGTTTCACAGGGATCATCGTCATTACCATCAAAATCCCGAATATACGTCGAAACACTTCCTCTGCGGAGACCGTTTTCCAAGTTTTTACCTAAAAAATATTAATTAAGATTACATTAAAAATTTCAATGATAGCAAAATTAATTAAATTATGATCTTCAAGCCTGCACTAACCCAATAAAATTTTTAAGAGTATAGTTACTGCATACATTTGATTTTATATTAAACACTATGTTTCGTAGAAAACGTAAAAATAAAAAAATATTTTTTTGTGCGTTTATTATTTAAGAATTTGAAAAAAACTCTCAATTATTTTATTAAAATTATTTTTGGCGATTATGTTAGTTTAAATTTATTTAATGTTCAAGTATATTTCCCGGTAAATAACGCGGTATTTAGATACACTAGTAATAAAAATTAACTTACCAACAGTCAGGGAAAACAAATCGGACCGGTCAATAATTAGAGCCACGTGTTTCCAATTAAAATTTTTAAAAATACTAAGAAACACCAGAGTTAATCGGCATTGACAATAAGACATTCTAGTAAGTGTCGGATACTCTGATTTATCATTAAAATTTCCCTAGAAATAAAAATTACAATCTTTACTATACATTGTTATTGTATATCATTAAATATAATTATATTATTATGTATTCGTTATAATCAATATGCGATGACTTAGAAATGGAAGGACCACAAAATAAAATAAATGCTAGAACGTTTAATTTTTAAAGACACCTTTTAAATGTTATTTTTTTTAACATAAAAAATAATAATTCGACTCTTACTATAGTAAATAACACATAGAATTTCAAGTAAAAAATACATTTTAGTTTTGGTTTTGAACAATTTTTTACACAAAAAACAAAATTCCATTAAAGAAAATTTAAGAAGTATACCTTTGTAACTTATAAATTTCCTTGAAAATATTTATTCGGTTTTTTGTCCTACTTAATTTCACTACGTAACAGAAATACTTACACATTTTTTTAAAAAGAAACTATTTCTTTGGGATAATATGAGGGTGCAGTCATAAAAGAATTTTGATTCAGATCTTTTTAAATCTCGTAGATTAAAAATACCTTAAATGTTTTATATGTTTTTACATAAAGTTACACTATTTGCCTTAATATATATGTATTTTTATTAGCATATTATTTAATAAATTTGTAGGTGTGATTTACATCCGTGAATAGAAATAAAGATAGTTAATCCATTTTTTTTGTTGATTTTCAACATTCAATTTAGTAGTTTAAAATAAGTTTTGATAATATTTTTTACTAATTAAAAAAAAATTTTTTACATCTATATTAGTGTAAATTTAAATATTAAATAATTATATGATTATTACAAAGGAAAAAAAGGTTGTCACTTTTTTAATTTTATTACTTTATCTTTATTTCAATAATGAAATTCAGGTAATTTAAAAAAAATCCTATTTTTAAAAGTTTAAAAGAAATTTGGTTCTTTAAAATGAATATTTCACGAGTTTCATGCGTTTTTAATAATTTGAATAAAGGGCTGATGGAGTAATACCTTTTGTTCTTTGCGGTACATCGTATGATTTAATTAGTGTATCGTCGTCGGACACAAAGTAAGAACAGTTAAACATTAACTTTTGGGAAGCATATGATTATATATCATCTTGTAGCGTAAAAGTTGCTTCGCTGTTACTTGCTAAACATTTATTGGTAGTATATGGAAATGTTTTTTATAAGTTTAAGAACGGTAATATTTGCTATAAAAACATACAATCATCCAAAAATAATGAAATAGGAATAGTGGTGATTAATTTTAGATTAGATGTTCATTTTCTCATGAAAAATTGTAAATGTTTAATTTTTTTAGAGAAAAAAATGTTTGGCTTGAAAAACTACAATAATATGCAATTAATTATATTATTATTATTTTTAAGAATAAATAATCATAACTTTTTTTAAATGTGAATGCATATTATTAACTGGATATATAACTTTTTTATTCGATCAATCGTTCGGATTTAAATTTGTTTGAAAAATAGGATTAAAGTAAAAATTCATCATAATTTTGGATTTCCTAATACCGGAGACAGCAATAATCTGTTTTAATTAACCATAAATCATTTTTTTAATTTCTTATCAATAAATATTTTCCACACTATCGATCCACAATGTACGATAATAGACTTGTGTTGAATAGATATGTATGCGACTATTAGTGAACACAAATTACTAAAAATAAGATTTTCATATGTTGGATACTAATAAGTAAATCAATAAAAAATGTTTACAAAAAAAAAACATTCTTCAAAAAAATCTGTTATGAAAAAAAACACTAAAAATAATAAAAAAAATCAGATTATAATTAAAATAAAATCTGATTTATTTTATACATTAGTGGGACTATATTAGTGACCGTAAACACCACTAAAATGTCACAATAAAGCAAAATCGCAATTTCGTTTTCTTGGATATCGTATTTTGCTAGTTATTTTAATTTAAAAACCAAAGCACTGAAATTTTTATGTAATTTCTATGGTACTAATCTAAAAATGTATCTTTTTTTAATTACAGAATTCTGATATAATAAACGTAAAAATACAATCGAATTGATAACCTCTTACTTTTAGAAAGTCTGTTAAAAACTAGATTATATGTTAATATTTAAAAATAGTAATCATATACAGGGTGGCCCACCACTCACTGACAACTTAAATTAAATTTAATATTTTTAGTTGATTTTTTTTTTTAAATAAAAGTTATACGTTAGGTCCATAGCTAAATCTCAATAATTAATTTTTTTACATTTTATTAAAATTATTAATTATTTTTAAATTTTAAATAAAATGTAAAAAAAAAATCTAATATTTTGTAGAGTAGAATTTAAGAAAAATTTTAGTAAAAAAATATCTTATTAATATTGAGTAGTAAATATTCTGTAGCGTTTTGAAGTTTGTGAAAATTTGAATTTTCATGTACTATTTTACGGTATTAAACATTGAAATACGTATTGAGAAAAGGACAGAAGAAAACGCTATCTTTTCAATATACTTTTGAATGAGAGTGATAAGTAATAATTGCCTTATCTAATTTCTTATCATGGTATTTATGCCAAGTTTGTAATGTATACACACTATCATCATATGTATACACAGTAATCTTGAAAAGATAGCGTTTTCTTCTGTCCTTTTCTCAATACGTATTTCAATGTTTAATACCGTAAAATAATACATGAAAATTCAAATTTTCACAAACTTCAAAACGCTACAGAATATTTACTACTGAATATTAATAAGATATTTTTTTACTAAAATTTTTCTTAAATTCTACTCTACAAAATAGCTCTCTTAAATTTTTTTTTACATTTTATTTAAAATTTAAAAATAAATAATATTTTTAATAAAATGTAAAAAAATTAATTATTGAGATATAGCTATGGACCTAACGTATAACTATTATTTAAAAAAAAAATCAGCTAAAAATATTAACTGGATCAAAAGTTATTTAAGTTGTCAGTGAGTGGTGGGCCACTCTGTATACGATTAAATAGTAAATTAATCCCAAATTATTGAATTTTAAAATACTATATAGTATAACTAAAAAAAAAATAAGAACAAAATTGTTTGTAATTTATTTGTCAATCATATTATCAAATTAAAAATAGAGGTTCCAATTAAAAAACAATTAAAGTTAAGGTTATTTATAGCTGAAGGGATAATTTGAACTAATAATTTGAGTACTTAATAACACAACTGACGTTGAGCGAGTCATTTCCTTATTTATTAAACATAAACGCGTGTCACCATCATCAGTAAATGAAATAACAATAGTCAAAGACCGATCTTTAACAGAACGTCATCAATTCAAAGCAATCCATAATGAAAACAACAATAGTGTTAAACCAGGCGAGAATCAAAAGGTTGTCCAAAGATAATTAAAATGTAAAAAAAACTGAAGAGAATACCCAGTTTAAACGTAAAAAAATATTTTTAATAATTATAATTAGAATAAATATTGTAACGCACTTAAAAATTACTTTAATAATAGTTTATGTTCCTTATCTATTAGCCCAAATTGAAAATTCTGTGGATATTACAAAATGTTGGGGTATTGATTGCTCATTTATTCAACTAATTGGAAATTAAAAGAGATGAATATTTTGAAAATTACAATTGGCCACTAGTTTAGTAGTAAAAAAAAATAATTATATCAAGAAATATATGCCAAATATAATTTCACCATTGATTTAAACGTCAAAAAATGCATATATACTCTTAATTATTTTGTTTAATTAACAAAAAAATTTTACTAAAAGACGATTTATGCAAATAATATTAAATTTGTATAAATATTTGAGTGTACGTATATGTTCTTTTTATAATTACTATTTTCCAGGTATTTATCAAATAAAAAAATAATAAATTTTCTTATTGATATTAATTTCATAATTATGGGATTAATTTTAAAATAATTATAATGGAAAGCCAAGCAAAATTGTCCATCAAATTCAATTTTAAATTTCTATAAAAACGGTAAATTTTATGGATAAGTTTCAAATTTTCAACAAATCTCTTTTAATATCATAAAATTATATTATACAATTTAAAAAATGTATATATATATTTATGTGTCAAAATTCCATATAATTCAAAATTCATCTAAATTTTGAAGACAGAAAAAAAGACTGTTGTCTTGTACAATAACTTTATAGAATTTTTAAACCAGAAAATTTTTCTCTTTTTCAAAAAAATTTCAATACTTTCTGTATGAAAAAGTGTCTTACCCAAAATTGATCAATCTTTAGAAAAATTCACAAAAAATATTCTTAATTAGTCATTGTGTTATATAAATAATCAAATGAGAATTCCGCGTGCTTATTCTGTACTAATATTTTTATAAAATAATTGGCAGTAATTACCGATTCATTTTTCTTGCCAAGTATTGCCGGCATAAGTGATACTTGCCCTTCAGCTGGTGGCTAAAAATTATATTTGCATTCTAATTAAAAAAAATATTAAGTTCATATTTAACTACAAGATTAGTGCCAATGTTTTAAAAATTAATATTGTATGCATTCATAATTTGATTTGATTTTTAGCTGCTTCTTTTACCTGGTCTCCCATCCCAGTTATAATTGGTAAATTCCAATAAGCTGCTAATCTAGCAACTGGTTCTAAAGCGAATGCACAAACAGGTCCAATGAAAGCTATAACGTTATCTTTAAATTTCATATCCGCAGCTAAACCGGGAGCTTGAGCACCTGAGCAATAAGGATAGCTGAAAACATATAAATATAAAATTAACTAAGTGTATCAATAAATATGCGTGAAATTAATGTAGAATTAAGTAGGACTATAATTTTCCAATATTTAAAATATAACATATTAAATTTTATGATAATTTATTGATACTTGCGTTAAAAACTTTATTTTTATTATAATTTAAGTTCAATTTTATTTAAATAATTAAGTGTATAATATTATTTTGCTCGCGCATTGAAATAATGTATTATAAATTTCTAACATTTAAACATTTTTCAAAAATTGGTAAATTAATTTTACCTTTTATCACGTTTAAGAGATTGTTACTCGAATAGTTAAAAATTAATTAGTTCATTATCTGGTAGTCGATGGAAATTAAATACAAAAGAAGAACTTAAAACGTATTTAATTCATTATTCAACTTATAAGCACATCTACTGAGAAACATAGTAGCTTCAGTGTAATTTAAATTAACCACAAGAGTAATAATATGTTCAGTAATAAAATTTAATTAGCAAAAAATAATAATTTCTCCATTAATCTATTATTATATAAATAAAAATCAAAAAGTCACAATTACTTAAAATGAACCATCATCATAAAATAAAACTTATTAAATAAGTAATGTCTACTTTTCGTTTTTACTTAAGTTAAATTATTTAGATTAAAGTTTAAGAAATTAGATCAATTGTGATAAATCAGGTAAACAATAAGAATAGTTTTTTTTTTCATTTGTTTGTTTTCGAACACGTTATATTAATATATTTCTTTATTAAATTGAATTCAAAGAAATATAATAAATGCGCGCATTGAGTTAAATTATAATTTAGCGCAAAAATTGTTATTATTGACATTGATTAATTCTCTTACAAAGTGTTAATTTATTATGCATAAAAATTATCATTTATTTTTCATTCCATTGAAATAATAAGTATTTTTTTCATGAGTACTTTGCTTGTTGACCAGTAAAATGTGTTCTTTATAAAAATGGAATCTTACTTAAGCATTCGATATTTATGTAAGATGTATAGTTTTTCAGCAGAATTAAATTTAGTGTGAGGGATCATGGGCCTAAATAAAAATAAATAACCAGATAATATTACTGGATATGAACAAAAAAAGTTCACCTGTGAGTTTCCATCGTAAAAACTCCAAACGTCCAACATTCGATGAACTAATAAATTCTTTCAGGATAGGTTTCGAAGAATTTATGTTATAAAAATGTCACAGTGATCGGATATTTTATTTGCCACATAAAACCTAAAGAATATACTAATAATATTACAAAAAGAAAAAAACTATAGTATGCGTATCTCTTCTGTCAATTTTATCACATCGACATCATGAAATTTCTTTTTGTTAGGTAATATCTTATTAAAAATAATTGAAATAAACAAAAAATAGATTGATGATCAAGTTTGTCATAGTTTTATATAAACATTTCAAGTGATACAACAATCCACGACAGCTTCAACACATTAATAGTTCAATATTATTTTTAGTTGCTATTAGGAAGTTTTCACGTAAAACACTTTAATACCAAAAGAGTAATCAAAACACTTTTTTTAATTCAATGTATTTATGATATTGAATTAACTATTGTGGTAAGAAAGCTTTTGTGTAAATCACAAGTATTTTAAAGGTTGTTTGCTTTTGAGTAAATTGAATTTCAACTGCTCCTTGCTATAATATAAAGGCAACGTACATGCACAAAAAACGAAGAATAAATACACGTTATTTTAAGATCGTACTGGTATACCTGTGGCAAATTGGTAGTGTACGATTTAGCAAAATTTTATACCGCCAAGTACATGCGAATAAAAAAACAAACACGTTCAAGGGGTCTATTTTGTTTAAATTTGGAAAACAATTACCATTGACTCTCAGCTGTATTGGTGTTATTTTTTTATTATGAATACATTTATTTTTATTTTTTCATTATGCGTTAATCCATAAAAACTCAAACTATAATAACTTCTATTAGCAACAGACTTCTATTTACCGGCTGAGTTAACCAAATAAATTGTCTTCAACAATTAACACATCAGTATAATTTACTATATAATAATTGTTTTACAAAAAAACGTTTATTAATTTTATTTATATATATTTATATACAAAATATGTAGATCAGAAAAAATTATGTTATAATTCATAGAATATTATTCTATCTTTATATAACATGATGCATGTTAATTACTTGAATATACAAGACAAATTTCATAAGGAAAAAGCTTTTCCTTAGTTTAAAAACTGAATGAGTTGAACGAACTAGATTATTACTTTTTCTTAGGCTATATTGTAAATTTATGCAAATAGACATTCATTTACTTTCAAATAAATATTCAAATTTACTTTTTTAATTTAATACGCAGAAAGATTTAAAACAATATTGACAAACTGTTCATGTGTATATTTTCTTACCCTTTGTAGATATCTTTTTATAGACACACACACTCGCATATTAAAGTTATTAAAGTGTCCTATTTTTAAAATTTTAGTTTTTTCATAAAATATATTCAAAATTTTAAACAAGAATATTTGAATTTCGTAATTTTAATAAAATTTCTAAACAATTATTTTTCTTGAATACTAAGTTTAATATGTTTATTGAGCAATTAAAAAATATGTTTATAAATACTTCAATTTTCATAATTTAACATTTATGTTATTAGATGGAATCTTTTACGTCTGTTACTCAAGTCTAACCCAATACTCAGTATTTAACTATTCATATATAAGTCAATAATTCAAATGGAAGATCAGATAAACCTTCAACAATAAGACACATACAAGTGTTTCAAAATATATCCCTCGAATTCTCACAAATGCACCTTGATACAAAACTAATAATAATTTACATAAAGATTGCAAATAAACACTGTTAACAAACTTGCAAAATTATACTATTTTAGATTTCACACTTAACTTAACTTAATTTTAAACCCTTTAATAAAACATATGTACACGACTAACATTTCAGACCACCAACCATACAGACTTAAATGTAAATTATATAGAGACTTACTATATGAAATAAATAACTATCTAATATAATCAGTGGTTAAAGTGGGAAAAACTACGAAGGGAAACTGTAGATTTTAAAAAATAAGGAGCGTTCCGAGTCACACGGAATAATTTCTCCTCAGAGGCTAAAAATAACATTTATCATAGTAAGCAAATATGCTTACTTAGTAAAAAAAAATTATCTCAATAAATAAATAAATAGATTAGTATCTACCTATAGATTTTGTTATGACATTAAAAATTAATTAGAAATGAATATTATACAAAACATCACAAAGTCAGTATTAAAATTTTATTTTATTTTGAAAATAAATGCAAAACAGTCTTTTTAAATTTTACACTATAACAGAAACAAGTTTAGAAAAAAATATTAACAGTAACCAATCTAGGTAGGTATATATATATATATATAAATGAAATAACAAATAAATATATAAATAAATAATAATGTAAAAAAATATAATTTATTAGGTATTCAACAAATTAAAAATATATCAACATGGTAGGTCATTAATATAACAAATGTTTAAATCACCTAAATTCTTATTTCTATAACTTTATAACCCTTAGTATAATAAGTCTTTTAGTTCAATATGTAGTCATACATATTAATTACATTTAATTTACATTTTTTTTTTAAGCTTATATTAAAGAATTAATTGATTAAACTTTTGAATGTAAAAAACAAACAAGTACTTATATTCATATTGATATTCCTGTAATTTAATTTATAAATATATATATATAACAATATACAGATTGTTTTTATAAAATAAAGGCAACCAAAAATAATTAAACATTAATTTTAAAACTATTTATTATAATAATTTTCACTATTAATAATTTTTACACAAGGCTCAAATCTATTCTAAATTGGTAGTAACATTATTTTCATTTTCTACGATAAAAAAAAAAAGAACTGCAAAACATTTTATATTGTAAACTATTTTTATTTCTATGTCAATTTTGTATTTATTACTTTATCTTACCCATGCTACTAATACGGACTTTATTTAACGAGCTTTTATTTTGGTTTATCTGAATAGTCTTTTTCAGATTATATAAATTTTGAAATCGGTGTAAATAAAAAAAAATCATACAGGAAATTTACAAAAATTTGGTAAATAAATTAATTCAATTTATAATGTTATCTAATATAAAACAAAATTAATCAAGTTATCATTCACAGCCAATTTAAGTGCCGAGAGTTTAAGATGATCAAATATTTAATAAAAATCAATAAATATTTAAATACCTTTTATATATCGCATGCATATTATGGTTAAGAGTTAAAAGTTTTTTTATTTTCATTTTTAGCTTAAAATTCATTGAATTTAAAAGTAGCAACAACATTTCAAATTTACAAAAATAATGTCGGAGATGAACATTAAAGATATAAAAATACTGGCATAATATGCAATAAATATTTCATTGGTAATGTCATCGCCTAAGGTACAACTGTAACTGAAAATCTCCATAAATACCCAGTACGAGATTTTATTTATACGTTGATGCGTTTTTTTAACAATTGAACGTATACAGTGAAAATATTCAGCTATCAAAAATTAAAGCCGATTAAATAAATGAATTTTCTATCTAACAAATATAACAACATTTATTATAACAAAGGTACATAAATTCATATGTTCCTTTTAATTGCAAATTATAATCAAACAAATAATTAAATTATAATTAATAATTCTAGTCAACAGAAGGTTGGAGGAGTAACAGAAGGTTTACGGATAAGAGTAGGAGCGCACCAAGGTTCTGCTTTAAGCCCTTATTTATTCTCTACAGTGATGTATGAAATTACTAGAGAAATACGAGGAGAGGTGACGTGGTGCATGTTGTTTGCTGACGATATAATGTTAATAGGAGAAAATAGTGTGGAAATTAATCAAAGGCTAGAGGTGTGGAGATCAGCTCTTGAAGAAAAAGGTTTAAGAATAAATAGAAGTAAGGCAGATTATATAGAGTACGAGTTTGACA